ACATGGGCTTCGTATAAATTACATTTAACAACAGAATACTGATTTAAATGATTATGTAACACTTATCTCCATGAAACTTCTATAGCATCATTGAAACACTTTTACAAATACAAATACATACCTGTATAATAGAAGTAGGGTTTTCTGGGGGCTTTACATTTGCAGCAACTGAGATTGAATTTAGGGCTTCCTGTGTGCTAATTAAGCGCTCTACCACTGAACTACATCCCAGGACTTTTAATTTTTTTTTTGAGACAGTCTCACTAAATTTCCCAAGCTGGGCTGGAACCTGCAATCCATTTTCCTCAGCTTTCTGGGTAGCTAGGATTATAGGTATGTGCCACTGCACCTGGAGAAAGGTATATATATTTTTTAACACCATAAATTTTCCTTGCAAAATTGGATGTTATTATTCATGTCTTACATGTCAGTAGATAAAGCATTATGATTCAGCTGCAGTCACTGACTCTGACTTGAACTCTGGTAGAGAAAGCGACAGAGTATAAGCAAATCTTTTATACTACCTTGGGACACTTGTGGTATGAGTGTTTTACAGAGGAGGAAGCCTCAAGGTGCTTGGAGCTGGTCAAGAAAGGTTTTACTGAATAGGGGACTTCTGAGCTAAAATGTCTTGTCAACAAGGGGAGGAAGGGATTGTAGAGAGAGCAAAGAGCAGGAGGGAAGGCAAGGATGCACAGAACACAGAATGTTCTGGAAAGGATGGAACAAGGGGGCTGGAGAGCAGCAGGGATGAGGGAACAGTTTGAAACAGATCAGAATGACTACGCAGAAGCTGACTGAACGGGTTTGTCAGCTAAACTGAGGAATTTAGACTTTAACTGATAAGGTGTGGCTGGGGATTTTAAGCAGAGGAATTTTTCCTTGAAAGATATATTTTGGGGCTGGGGGAGGGAGGGGAATATGGGCAGAGGGGTTGCATGTGCCAGGCCCTGGGTTCCACTCCCAGCATTGAAAACAAACAAACAAACAAACAACAAACAAAAGGTTTTTTGAATAGGTTGCAGAGCAAAGAACAGAAAGCATTCAAACCAGTCGGGCTGTTAGGTAATTAAATTCTGAGGGCTGTAGAGATGCCCAGTGTCATGACTTGGGAACCTTCAGAAGAACCATGGATGTGGGGGGAAGGGACCAGAGAGGCCACAGCAGGCTCTGAGGATTTTACTCTGGGTGACTGGGGGGGCAGTCCTGTCACTAAATGAAAAGGAAAATGCCATTGGTTGTTGGGAATTACCTTTGATCCCAACTCCCCTTTCCACTGAACAGATTACCAACTACATTCCATCTTTGCCTCCGATCTTTACTACCCTTCTCTTAAATGCTTCAAAGTTATTTTCCTAAAGCAGATCTGATTATATAAAGTTTTTTGTTCAGAAATATCTGACCCAGAAGGAAATCTTGACTTTTAACTGGGAGTGTGCACTCTCCACGCCGTGCAGAGCAAGAGGCAAAGACCTCGTGGCTATCTCTTGACCATTAGTGCGTTTCCCCACCCCGAATCCCGCAGCCTCACTCGTGAATCTAATCTGATCTTCGTTCCTGGAGCCCACCCTGTCACTTCACTGCTCCAAGCCCACCCCCTCTATTTTCTCCACATTGAATGCCGCCATGCTGTCGGCTTCTGTCTCCACACACATCCACCCTTAGTCCACAGTATCCTGCGTATTCCGCGGTGCACGGACTTGGGTTTCAATCACGACACAGGCCTGGCGTTCTGCCTGCCTTCCAGGCAGCCCTGTCTCACTGTCCTTTCCACTTCCCTGCTCCCGGGACTTTCACACAGCCCCAGCTCAACATTTTGCACGGAACTAACCTGGAGTAGACAGTCTGCTCCCCGTCTTAACCAAAGTTCAGCACAGGGTCTGAGAAATCAGGAGATTCTGCCACCTCACGACAGTCCCCGTGGGGTACAAAGTGTCGAGGGGGCCCTTAAGAGGTCTAGACTAGTCGTGACAAGAGTCGTGACAAGACAGCAAAAATAACTTGCTGTCAGGCGAATTCAGTTTCCCTAAGCAGCTGTAAGATGTCAAATAAAACAGCGAAGGCACCACACTTTAAGAGATCGCGGGGCTCTCGGACCCCACCAGGTGGGATCTCCGAGGGCCGACAACATCCCTCCCCGAGGTTAGCAGAGCCGGCGCTGAGCTAACATTAGTTAGACACGCAGGGGCGCGTGCCCGCCCGCGGCGCCGCTCTCGGGCCCCGGGCTTCTAGGGAACTCCGCAGGGCTGCGC